AACTAACTTTATATACCGTAACAAATGTGTTGCTCATTATTAGTTATTGTTAGTTAATGCAGTAACTAATGTAAAATAATGGTACCTTATTACAAAGTGTTACCTTTTTTAATTCATCCAGATGTGGTCAGGTTTTAGAGCATATAAAATTACGAAATCTGGATTTAGTAAGAATTAATAATAATAAAAGTTTCTATGCTTTATACGTCAACGTTTCACAAAAAACGTTTTCACATTTTGGAATCTACACGGATCACAGTTTTAATCTGTTAACAATTAGCCCACAGAGGAATAACACACCCACATTTATGTGGGAAGCTGCTGTATAAAGGACTGAAAATAATATCAGATTTACACCAACAAATGCTGCAAAGAAGCCGCAAAGTGAAACTGATGATTAAATTAGGTTACATTTTTATCCATCCCCAGCAGCGGTGGGAGTCAGATCAGCCCTCATCAGCAATAGATCAGCTCTTGTGCACACTTCACTGATGAACATTTTGACAGATAATACAACAGAATACAATAGTGTCCTCACACTCACTAGAGACAGATGGCTGGGCACAGTCTGCAAACTGCTCATTAGTAAATAATTGAAAGTCATTCAGTTGTGAAACGGAGGAGCCTGGACATCACTGTTTCCATGGCTGGCAATAGGCTGCTGAGTGGGGATGTTGACAAACAGCCTTTGGTAACAATTGCTTTTGTAAGGAATCGGATCAACTCGCACTGCAGTCCCATATGCTAATAAAAAAAATACCATATATATTTTTAAATGTATTGTAGATATATTTTAAAAATTATATAGAAATGGCCTTTTTTGTTTTTGCAAATGTACATTTTACATAAATATATTTTCCATATGCTTTAGTTACGCATATTTACTCCTATATTTGTTGGACATTTTTTAAAATATATTTTTAATATTATTTTTATATATATTGTCCAAATAAAAAAAAACTGCATTTACCAAAAATGTTTAATACTGGTAAATTAATATTAATATTTGAATTTTGGAAATGTATTTTCATGCCCCTTGAAATACATTTTGTAATATATTTTGGCATAACAAACAAAATCTATTTTTAATAAGAAGATTACACTGGTTATAACACATTTAGTATATATTTTAAATATATTTTGGTAATAATATATTGGTCATTTTTAAACAAATTTTTCAATGAATTAATGCTAAATAAAGCAAACATGCATGCACACCAAATCAGAACGCAACCAATATACCAAAGAAAGCACATTTAGTTTTTTTGTTATCGTCTTGAGACACTTTATCAATTTTGTAGCCACATAGAGATCAATAAACTGGAACAGAGACACAGTGGCCATATTCTCACTGAACCAAAGAAAAAAACTCAACATTCGCTACCTATCCTGGAGCTGGTGTCTGACACCTCATCAAACACCCACACACAAACTTGGTCATCCACTCATGCACACGCAAACACACCTCACCCACGCACACACACTGGCACCCCCATAAACATGGCATCTTCTCTCAGCACCCAGGCTGTGTGGAATGCCCAGAGGCCCAGAATAAAGACCATGACACCATTTTCTGAAATAGATCCTCTTTAAATATTCAGAAACTACATAAATAAGCAAAATATAGGCCCCTATCACAGAACAAATTAACTGGCCTGTTAAACTTTACCAAAACAATGATTTTCCAGATGCATACTTTGATGTCATCTGGTTCTAAAGTTATTAAAAAGAGATGATCTCAAAATAATGGAGTTTGTTTGGGTATTGTAAAAATACCCCAAAAATCATTTAAAGAGTGCCGTTTATAAATTACTATTGGATATATGAACAGATTACAAAATTCTAAATCTCACAAAAATGTTTTATGCTTTAAAGGGGTGGTTGATTGCGATTTAATTTTTTTAATGTTAGTTAGTGTGTAATGTTGCATAAACCATATCTGTTTAAAATTCTGGCAGTTTAATGCCAACAAAAACGGCTCGTAGAGACTACATCGAGTTACTTCCCGGGTTCGTGATATCACAAACCCAGAAATTTACATAAACCCCGCCCCTGGGAACATGCAACGAAGGGGGTGAGGCCATGTTGTGCTGCTTTAGAGAAGAGGAAGAATTGTTGCCATGTCGTCAAAACTAGGGGTGCACAAAAACATCTATTCATATATGAATAGCAATTCTGTCTTGTAACGATTCTAATGGATTCACAAGTTTCAAAATCAATGTTCTAAAACAGCGGTTCTTAATCTTAATCCTGTTCCTCGCGCCCCCCTCTCTGCACACGCTCTGCTCTGCATCTCTCTCTCTCTCTCTCCTGATCATCATCTCGTCAGCTCCAATAAACTGTTCCAATTATACACTTTAAGTACAAATAACAGCGTATCTAAAAGTATGAGACAACAACAAAAAAAACATACCATTAGGAGCCGTGTTTGTGCAGGGTCTGTGCGATCCTCTTCACTAATACTCTCTGCGTCTCAATTGGGCTCAAATTGATAAGCAATACTGACGACGTCATTGTTTACAATACATCACCGGAGCACATGCCGCTGAGGTGAGGGGCGGGATGTTTAGACACGCACTGGCGGTTTAGCGAATCACAACACACTGGGCCAGCTAACCAATCTGAACCCATCGTGTATTTCTAAGGGAGGGGCTTCATAAAAACAGGAACTCATCTGCGCGTTCAAATGAGAAGAGACAGAGCGGTGTAGAATAAAGGAAAGTTATGTGAAAAATAATGCTTTTTTTTTTTTAAAAACAAGAATTAGCACATGGTAGACTGCACCCCATAAACACAATCAAGCCTAGAAAAAAAAACAGTCAACCACCCCTTTAAAAAAAGTTTTGAAATGTTATTGGTGATTTTTTTTTATTGAATATTATAAATAAACAGACAAATAAACAAATAAATAATGATGCTCATCATGCTTTATATACAAAAAAATAAAAATTTGTCTGTGGACGTTTCACGTTTTGGAATGTACACGAATTACAGTTTTAATCTGTTAACAATTAACCGACAGAGAAATAACACATGCACGTTTATGTGGGAATCTGCTATATTAAGGACAGAAAATAATATCAGATTTATGCCAACAAATGCTATCTATTTGGCATATGTTTCAAAATATTTTGTTGAATAAAACCACTTAATTTACATGTTACCATTTTTAGGTTGCAATTGATATATTAGCAATTGTATTTTTTCCTCTCATTCCCATTTAGCAGAAGGTGAAGTCAATTTATTGTAAGCTCAAAGGTGAAGCGTGCACTTCTCCCAAACACTCCCAACAGCAAAAAACGACACACTTCACTTCTAAAAGTTTATAAAACACGTCCACCAATGAGTAAACGTCTAATTATTCAACTGAAGAGCTCCTGAACAGAAGCAGAAATTGGAGGGATTATTCTTAGTTTAATATCTCAAAGACATAATACATTATTTCAGTCCGTAATATCCACAAGCGATTTATTAATGGAACAGCCAGAACTGCATTGGGGGTGAAGCTAAAAATAGGTAATTTAGTTGTCACACTCCAGGAGATTAAAAATGGGAAGAATAATTTCTTACTTCATTTGACACTATGAATAGCACCGCACGTGCACATTTTTCAAGATGTCGATGCCTAGTCAAACTCTTAATATATTCTTCTCACAGGATCTGTCACATACAATTATTTTTCTGTCAGTCACTGAATGGTGAATTAGTAATCTTTCACAAATAACTGAAGCGTCTCTGATGGCTTTCTTCGATGGGAAGAGAACCCATTAGGTAAAGTTGACGTGTGTAAGAGTATTTAAGAGACAATCTGTACTTGTAAAACCAGATCCAGCATTACAGAATTATTTCGGTGTGACTGAACCTCTCAAGTCCTCATTACAGAATCAACAGGCTTACTCAAGACTTAATCATAACATGACTCAAGTGCCTATCACTGAAATAAACATAAATCACATACCTTGCTTCAGCAGTGGATGACTGTGATGGTGATGATGATGATGATGGTGATGGCAACATTTGTGGTGATAAGAGACAGAAAGATGAGACTTGCTTCCATGTTTTGATCCATCTTGATTTTCTCTCTCTCTCTCTCTCACACACACACACACACACACACATACACACACAAGCAAAGAGTTGCAGATGACGATCAACAGCCGTGGGTGGAAATTCAAATGTATCTTTGAAATTGGCTACAGAATTGGCTGATGGCATGACCCTATCTGACTCACAATCTCTGTGGAAAAAGCACTAAATGAACACAAGATAACATGCAGTAAAGAAGATGCAGAAGACAGGAGTGACTGGGGCTAGTTGTCACACTGGGATGTCATCACATGAGGTACATCTCAGTAACTATAAGGTTTTGAATTTGAGTGAAACTTGAATCAAAATTACTTTAAATTGTAATAACAGGCTGCACTGACCCCAGATTTTTGAATGGTAGTGTAAAAATAGTGTAATATACCCCATATAATATGACAACAGGCCCCAATATCAGGAAACTTTTTCCTGGGCAATTACAGTGAAAAATTTTAATTAGATATTCATGACTCTATTGTATGTTTCTAAACAGAATATAAAATAAAAAAACAAATATACTCAAAACTAATTATACTCTTGAGAAATAGTCACTGGAGTAAAACTTGTGGCAACTACCCTGCATAGTTGTTTTTTTCTGCAGCAGTAAGTGTTATAGATGTACAGTAAGCTTTTCTAATACACCTCCTACACTTTGAGAAAAAAAAACAAGATTTGTTTTCCAAACCTGCCAAGAGTGCTTGCCACAGCTCACAGGCACAATTTCAGGAGTGTTTTCTTGCCGTTGCTTTGATAAGAAATGTCTGCTAAAAATATAAATCCATGTGCATAGAGTTCATGTTTTGGGTAACTCACCTGCCAACCAACAGAAACTCTCCAACTAGGCGGCGGCGTCTCATGGCCATGAGGATGCCACGTACGGTCATGCCCTCACAGAAGCATGCCACCACACGAGCTTTGGGCAGGTGGCTCCTGAGCTTATCGAGAAGACGGTCGAAACTCTGCTCTCCAGCATTGCTGTAGATCTTGTCAGAGTGGGCAATACAGATGCCCTCCTTTGCTGCCATGTCTTTGAAGGCCTCCATTCCACTCTCACCGTAGTTCCCTGAAGATTGAATGATTTTTAAGCTTGAAACATGTTCAAAAACTTTGGGCCATCACACCATCATACCAGTTTCAGGGACAATGCTGAAGTTTGTGGATATTTAAAGGATAAAATCATTATATTATATTATATTGTCTATAAAATATATTTATATTTAATATTATTTTATTACAATTTTAATTAAACATTTATTTAATAAAATATTTATATCAAATAATTTCTTATTTTTAATATAAATTAGCTTGGAATTGTACAGCTATAATGAAACTGTGACAGAAATGGCCATCACAAATGTAATTTTGATTGGTTCACAAAACAATCCAGTCCAAGCCTTGTTAAAATCTTCAGGAGAATATGAAGAGCTTCAGGTGCTACACACATTCAGGAACAGCAGACATTTTAACTAAGTCTCCCACATTTTATTCTCACCGTTAGTTCTTCTTGTGTTTACAAATAAAATCTAAAGACTTGACTGGGTGGGTCAGTTGAGGGAGTAGTGAAACGTTTGGTACAGTAGATTGAACGCTAATTTTGAGTTTCATGATTTTGAGATTTTGATTTCTCATGAAATGACCTTGTACTGCTGAACTGAAAGTTATTTAAATTGAAACGTCATATTTATGGCAAATCTCCGAAAATATCATTTATGTTCTATAAAAGTAAAATAAAAATAAATAAAAATAGATTTCACTTTTTCATGCTTTGAAAAACTAATGAAAAACAGTAAAGTGTCAGGGGTAAACTCCCCCAATTTACATAAAAATCAGGTCACCTACTTTTGTGTGAGGAATGTTCCCAGTCTTCACACATTTTATGAGGTGCGAATTGCAAAGATGTCTTGATAAACAGCAAACATACACCTTAACTTCACTCAAATACAGTAAATCGACCGATTTTTCCAAATCAATGCACAAGCATCTTAATTACACCCGAGATTCTAATAATGGAGATTACAAGGATTAAAACAACATTCACAAGATCATTCCAGTGATGGAGCTTTGCTAAAAAATATTAGGAGTGAGCGTAGTGGTTAACAGTCTGGACTTGTAACCTAAGGGTGGTGATATGTGAACCGTAAGGTCACTGAGACCCCCATCCCCATAACGTCCCAGAGGAAAACACTTAACCCCAGCTTGCTATTAGCATTCCGGTGAGTAAGCTGTATCTGCAAGGTGAGAAATGTCCATTGCTCTTCATCCTAACATTAGAGTTTTGAGGAACTATACCAAGAAAATATTTAGGGCTTTTGCTAAAAGTGCAGCAGATATTGGTCATTCCTTGTATGCAGTACATTTTCATGTACCCATCATATTTGTCTCTGTACTTTTATAATGATTTCAAAACCTTGGGGTCAGTAAGATTTTTAAAAAGAAATGAACACTTTTATTCAGCAATTATGTAATATATTTATTAAAAGTGACACCATTAAAATGTTACAAAAAATTATTTTAAATATATTTTTGCACATGATTCATTTATCAATGAATCATGGTTTCTACAAAACAATTACGTAACAGCCGTTTTTGTTCATAATAATAATAATAATAATAATAAATGTTTCTTGGGAAGAAAATCAGCATATTAAAATGATTTCTGAAAATTACAGTTATTTTATTGTAATACTATTTCACGGTATTACTGTTTTTAGAGTATTTTTAATCAAACAAACACAGCCTTGGTAAGCATAAGAAATCTTAGCAAACCCCAAACTAGTGTCTAAATGATAAAATGTGAAATATTAATATTACAGTAAATATGATTGTAACACTTTAACTACTTTTAAATATAGTTTTGTAACCCTTTAACCCTTTAAATATTATTTTGTTTTCCTTTAACTAACAAATGCAAATTAATGACATCACCCTCCATTTTTCTCAACCTCCTTCACTTTTGATGGCAAAACAAAAATACAAGCATCAAGAATTAGCAATGTTTTGATGATGTTTTGTGCTTTGTCTTACTCTCGAACATCCTGAACTGTATGTTAAAACTAAAGAAATCAGTATGATGATACCAAAATTTTGAAATGAGAATTGCCTTTACTTCCTTTACTCAGCAATATTTTCTATATTTAGCATCCCTTTTTTGTATTTCCATTGTGTAAATAATCAAGGGATAATTAATACAATCTAAGAGCATAACCTATGCATAACTTGACTTGACTATCAAACACGTCTCATTCTTCATCTCTGTGAAGTCTTAGATTTGAGAAGTGTACTTCCAAATGCGCATGACTTCATCTCTAATCTCTCTCCTCAGGGAAGATCTTCAAATCTTTCACTCCATTCCTCTGTGCCAGTTCGGTGATTTAATTCCCTCGCTGCTCTCAAACTTCACTAGAACCTTCTGTCTCAGATAAAAATGGATATATATATATATAAAAAAATAGAGTTACATAATATTTTACAGGCATTTCGATAAAGGGCAGAAAACAAGTGGTCCTGCAATTCAAAAGGTCGGTCACAAGAAGCAATAACAAATGTGGGTAAAATGACCTCTGCACACAATAACGGAGATATTCTGATGACCTCAACTTTTCTTTCCCTCCTACAGAGAGACAGACACTGCAGAAGTGACAAGTCTTTAAACAGTGTGTTCACTCGCACAAGAAAATTCATTAAACGCCCACAGACACTGAAAACAGAGCTGCAAATGATCATAAGAGATGATCAATAAGAGATGTAAATGATCATCATGATCGCCTTTCAGCTAATGATTTCTGTTTGTTCTATGGTCTGTCGTGAGGCCAAAAAAGGCCATAACAAAAGCGCAGCAGCAACACAATACATGAGCATGTCTATTAACCATTCACTCTGTGTACGCTGTATGCAAAGCATCATGGGGTGTTTTCAAACATCAAAGACACTCTTGAACCTGATGAAACAATAGATAGACAAATCTGCAGAAAGGTATGATGCTGCTTGACACATTGTCTGAAAGGCCTTAGTTTGAAAGGAAACTTTTGCATTTCAATACCTTTAATAAAATAAATTTTTATAAAAAGACAGTAAACCTCATTATTATACACACATCTTTCATTAACATACGTCTTCAGTAATTTCACTGGTTATTTCCATGTTAAACTAGGGCAAAAACACCTATTCTCCACTGGTGTTCAGCATGTTGATTGACAAGCTGGTTAAACACAAGTCAAATCAAATGTGACAACAAACATTTGTTCTATTTTATCAATAGAGCCCACAAATTACAAATGTCAAAGGATGATATAATACAAATGGAGCTACAGATGCCAGCAAATGAATCAACATTATGGAGTATTTCACGGCTCCTTGTTCTGTATGTGGGTGAAAACTGGGGTGGGCTCCACATTTAACTACCTGCTGGCAATTAACACCAGTCTGTGAGGCCATCAATCTTCTAGCCAAACCGCTTCAGTCTGTAGTATTCAGTAAACAATGAACCAGGGATACTATTTAATAGTTAAGTTAAAACTAAAACCATGAACTACATTTTACGTTCCTTGAATTAAAATAAATAGTATGAAATAAAATATATGTGACCCTGGACCACAAAACCAGTCATAAGGGTCTTTTTTTTAAATTGTAAAACTTTCCATTGATGTATGGTTTGTTAGGATAGTTCAATATTTGGCCGAGATACAACTATTTGAAAATCTGGAATCTGAAGATGCAAAAAAAAAAAAAATCTAAATATTGAGAAAATTGCCTTTAAAGTTGTTCAAATTAAGTTCTTAGCAATGCATATTACTAATAAAAAATTAAGCTTTGATATATTTATATTATATTTATAAAATATCTTCATGGAACATGATCTTTACTTAATACTTAATATCCAAATTATTTTGGCATAAAAGAAAACATTTTCATTTTGACCCATACAATGTATTGTTGGCTATTGCTACAAATATACCAGAGCTACTTATGACTGGTTTTGTGGTCCAGGGTCACATATATGTAAAAAAAAATATTTATAATATATACTGCCTGAGTTTGTAACATACAGTAAAGTATGCACCCAGGTTATTATTTAATATTCATTAGTTAACTAAAACTAAAACCAGTAAAAAACTGTTTTGTTAGTTGAATTTGAACTTGCTACGATGAACTTGAAGTTATTAAGAAAATTAAAAACTATAAGATATACAGTATATTATATAAGAAACTGCAATCGCTAAAACTTAACTCCCTTCAAAAGGAAAAAAAGAGAAAATACAAAATAAAAACAAATTCAAACGCCAATAAGATAAAATCTCAGTGGTACTAAATATTTAAGATAATATAATATTTAAGAATATTTAAAATCACATTTAAGATATAAAGTTTGGCTTAATGCAGTTTAAATGGTGTTTAATCTCACCAAGTCACCAAGTGTAATAAACAAGTACATAAAATGAATAGCAGATGCCTGGATCTTGACTACATGTGGCACATGCTGCATCAGAGACATAAACTCTTTATGAGGAATCCTTAAAAGATGTGACATTTCCCTCTATGAATAATAAAGAGATTTCGCTGTTTAGGCCAAGATAAAGGTGAACCGCAACAGACAGTGTGATACATTATCACCTAATAAAATCCCTCTGGAAAATCTCTCACTTTGAGAACGTGGGAGATTTAACACTTTAAATAATAGTTTTACGTGCTTATGGAGATCTGCCTCTCTCACTGGAAGACTTTTGTGAAATACTAATGCGAGGAAGAAATTAAACCTCCAGAACTAAAAAATGAATAGGCTCAAAAGAAAAATAAAAGGGTTGCAGGGCAGATTTAGCTCTTTTAAGAAGCGTTGTGGAAAATCTCATAGTAACCATGAAGAAAAATGCTTCCCCGAGGAAAGAGATCACGTACCTTCAGTGTGAATGGCAGATACGTAGGTCCAGTTATATCTTTTGACGATGTCCACCATCGCTCTGGCCTGCTGGGCATCAGAAGGCACCACCCTCATAAAGTACTTGTACAAAGACTTATCGCTGAGATCCATACTGGTTGCCGAATACGCAATCTGGGGAATGTTGAAGAGCTGAAGGAGATTCTGGACCTGGATGGCCACAGAACTGGATCCAGGCCCGATCAACCCCACAATGGGCTTCTTCCCTTTCATGGGAGTCCCTCCACCTTCGGTTGTACACTTAGACATGCCTTCTTCCTCCTCGGCTGAGACTAGAGTGTCACGGATGAACTCGATGCTCTGCTCCAGAGCCACGGCCGAATGCCAGCAGGAGTCTCTGATCTCGCAGCCCAGTGTGATGTTGGGTAGGATGTGCGGGTCTGCGTTGATGCGGTCCAATGTGTGCATCATGGCCTCCACCCGCTGGATGCCATACTGCTCGCGTACAGCGCCGCACTTGCGCTCGTGAACCTTGTCGGCCGGCGGCTGATGATGGACAGAGAAAAGAGCCCCGATGATGATGTCGCCAGGAATGTGTGCCAAGACGCGTCGCTCGCTGGCTTGGGCCTTCGCTAAAATGTCTGACTGTGTAGGACCCAATCTGTCTCCGAGCAGCACAAACACCAGCAAATGTAAAATCCCCATTTCCTCGGCCCTCTCAGATCAGAGTGTTGAATACTGGTAGGTTCCTCAGGGCATCTGAAAGAGTCACAAGAAGCAGAAATCTTCAGAACAATACCCCTGGAGATCATCAACCTCCCACTGAATCACAGAGGTGCATATTTGTGAGAGTCGTGATAAGGATGAGCTGTCGCCAGGGCAACGTCTTATTCTAAAGTGTGAGGATTTTTCTGCCTTCCTCTAAATATCTCGAGATCAGGAGGAAAACAAAGTTGAAATGCACCTGAAGAAGTTCTGGTAGATCTTTTGTAATGAGATGCATCATTAACAATGACCTGTTAGAAACAAAGAGCACGTAAATATTAAAATATGTATTGATTCTGATTCATACATTTGTTCAGAATCAAAACCTCAGAGATTTTCCACAACACCGAGACCCAGAGGATAATGATTTTATGGGGATTTGCTGCCACTGAATATTTATATTGCCTCATTATGCTCTTTTCATTACTGTAAATGAATGATTAATTTAATTAAAATTAGTTACATAGTTCAGAGAAATAAATACAGAATTCCCAATAATGATTTTTAGTTACTTATATGTGAGCCATTATATCATAACATATTGTGCTGGTTTCTTCAGTTTACAGGGTCTGAGGGCTATATCTCATACTTTTACAGATCACTTGGGGAAATCATAACATATGTCATGTCAAGAAAACATGGGAGAGGGATTTGGGGACTGTTTTTGTTGCAATAGACTGATAGAAACCCACTGTATGAACACATAACTCATGTATACTTAATAAGATTGATTCTTCATACTCACCTCTGTGCTCAAAATGCAGAGTTGATATTGGTATATAAAAGCACTATTTATGTTCTTCTATTGGTAGGTCTTGCTCTCTGATTTCAAAGAAACTATGATTAATTTTTAAACAGCAGGACTGTCTGTATATCTTCAGCTTTCCAACTCAGCAGAAAACTCTGAATTCTTCTAACACAAAATTGTTGGACAAACTCATAAAGTGCATTCTGTTCAATTGGATCAGTGACAAACCACCAACAGTTACTCAACATTTCAGAGAAATGCATACTGCATAGAAAGCTTGCTATGGTTGATGAGCTTATTTTCTTTTTTGTAGCTGCTGTACTTTCATTTATCTATGTAATTGTTCATTTCAACAATAAGTTAGAGACAAATTAATAACTGAAAAGGTGCCAAACATAAAATTGACTCGATTCAAGAAGCATTCGCTGCTGTCTGAGCTCTCCGTGGTGCTGAAATACAGTCTGAAGCGTCAATCATAAACCAGTATATTTGAATCAATGAATAACAATAATGTGGCGGAATACCACTTCATATTTTGACATAACACATACTTAAGAACTCGATGGACAAATAAAACATATGAACGTTCAAATAAACAGAAACAGGACCATGAACTTAAGCGTGAGGCATTATACCTCTGATGAAAAAGTGTTAAATAACATCGTTAATAATAATAAAAACAGCAATGATAACATAACTTACCGTTCGGTTGTTAATTTGGGCCATTGCTCGTGTTCTCACAACCGAAGTGTCTCTGGGTGTATGAGCGCGTGCGATGCGCGTTCACTGCAGCGACAACTTGCGCGCGCGTCACGTGACTATAATATATATTTACATCTCGTTCTCGCAGTCCATGACGAAGATGAAACCATACAGAAGTAATCAGTTACTATGAAAACAAAAGTAACAGAAAAGTCTAAACCTATTTTTTTTTATTTTTTATGAATTTAATCAGTAGAAGTTTATTATTATTATTAGGCCTATTATTATTATTATTATTATTATTATTATTATTATTTGTATGTCCATAAACCTCTAAGATATGTTTTAAAAACTACAAGGCTATTTATTTTTCATTGGAGTAGCCTACACGGCTTATGTGCTTCATGAACATCTCAACCGAATAGTTTTTTAATTAAAGGTCAGAATGAAAAGGTTCGACAACTAGAACATTAGTCTAACTAGAAAACGCTTTTATTAGACTTCTTTCACCTATTTCTTGCAGTGACAGTAACAGCGCTGATGCAGAATTTCTGACCACTTACCTTAGACACGGGGCACAGCGCCACCACCTGGTAAATCAGAATATTAGATTCTTTATTACAGATTAGTGCTACTTCACACCTTTTTGTTTTACAACCCCTCAATCATTTAGTCTTAAAGGGATAGTTCACCCCAAAATTCATCATTTACTCACCCTCATGTCGTTCCAAACCTGTTTTTTTCCCTACTATGGAAGTCAATGGCAACCACCAACTGTTTGATTACCAGCAATCTTCAAAATATCTTCTTTTATGTTCAACATAAGAAAGCAACTCATACAGGTTTGGAACGACATGAGGGTGAGTAAATGATGACAGCATTTTCATTTTTGGGTGAACTATCCCTTTAAGTACCCCTTCATCAACAACAAAGCAGAAATAACTCATAACTTACAGGATATCATTTCGTTTTATCATTAATATCAATAAACTGCCCACTATTTAAGAGATTCACTTTAAAACCAAAACAATTGATAATACTGTAAGTCAAAAACAAACTTACGTAACTCCGTTTAAAGCTCTAGGATTGTGCCCAGTCCATCTGAGATTGTTTTGCTGTAAAGAAGAGAGAAGCATAAGGTAAGTTATAAGGTAAATATCTACCTCTGTATTTTACTACAACTGTAACCCAGTTTTACATATTCATTTGTACTTGTTTTTGGGAATTACTGCTATAAATCACCTTCATATTTCTAGTCATACTATTCAGGCCTACTAAACTATTTAATAGTAAAATATGTAATGCTTGCACAGATGTTTTTCTGAAGAAAATCCAACTGAGGCTGTGAATAGATGTGTTTTCATACATTTATTATTAATAATACGCTATTTATATACAGGTTTAAGAGAAAGTTTTATAGATTTATTTTTGTGTACATTTTATATAAATATTTAAATATATGTATTATTAACTTTTTATGAAATGTTTTATATAGTTTACATATTTTTATATGAATGTTATTTTATATAATATATATAAAAGTGATTACAAATTAACTGTATACAATTCAATTACTCTGTAAGGTCATATACTACATCAATACAGGCATATACAGCTCCTCTATATTTTACCATATTACTATTGGCCTCTAGATGGCAATAACATACACTTTTAATTTTGTAGAAAACATTTAAAAAAGGTAAAAATCTTATTTTGTTCAGGTTGTGGCATTAGCTGGTTATCACTTGACTTTATTATTATACTGTAGTTGTGTGATCCAAAATATAAAACAACATTTGATTCACATCCTCTGATCTGGTGTGTGGCAAGGCTACAAATTATTATCACCTGATTCTAATTCTGTTGGTCTATTTAATGCTCTTTGTAGCTCATTGCTTGTTATTGCAGTCGAGTCTGATATTGAAAGATCGGTTTTGTATACTAATTCCTGCTGTCAGTGCTGTTTTATTGTTAACGTTTGATCTTAAAAAATCTTGTGTAAGTTTGTTGCTAGTGCATTGAGTGTCAAAATGCCTACTGAAAATCTGTCTGATAAACGCATGTCCAAGTTCAAAAATAAGGGCAAGGAACCAATGGTGAGCTGTGCATCCATTCTGGCAGGTTTTCCCCCTTTTAACTGTTCACACCTTAAAATCTATTGATGTCTTTACACCCTATCTATGCTTGCAGAAAATGCGTGACCGCAGAATTGCAGAGTGCGTTGAGCTTCGAAAAGCTCACAAGGTTGAAAGTATTATGAAGAAGAGAAATATTTCATCTGTGGGAGATGAGCCTCTGTCACCGGCTGATAACACTGACAACAAACAGGTGTTTGCTAATTAAACCTTTAATTAGAATTCACATTTTTACAATACTCTTGAAACTCCGTTTTTATTTTGTTAAGGTCATATCTGAAACTATTCAAGAAATTGTTGCCAATGTGAACGGTGACTGCCCAGAGAAGCAGAGACAAGGTTGTCAAGCAGCTAGGTACAGTAACTGGTCTTAACTTCATCCGTGATCTCAACTTTTTATAAAGCCTTACCAACCTTCAAATTGATGCCTTCAGGAAGCTGCTTTCTCGGGAGAGAAACCCTCCCCTGAAGGAGATCATAGAAGCTGGACTTCTGACTCGCTTTGTGGAGTTTCTAGGAAGGAATGATGACCCTACGCTGCAATTTGAAGCTGCCTGGTCTCTCACTAATGTTGCATCTGGCACCTCCTGGCACACACAGCAGGTGGTAGAGCACGGGGCAGTGCCAGCCTTCATTGCCCTGCTGGCTTCACCAATGCTGAACATCAGTGAACAGGCTGTCTGGGCTCTTGGCAACATTGCAGGTGAGAATACTTCATCTGCATCCTAAAAGAATGTGGCACTTGTACTCTAATGCTTGATGAGACCTTGGTACGTGAATGTTCAGAAAGGATGTACTATCGACTTGCTCTGAAAATTGAAAACCATTTGCCAAAGTGTTTATTCACCCATTTAGGTGATGGTCCTTCATATCGAGATGGCCTGATTGACTGTGGTGTCATCCCTGCACTGTTGGCACGGCTCACTCCAGATGCTCCTGTGAGTTTCTTCTGAACACCCCACACCTCTGGATTTGCAAGTGTAATTGCACAATGTAACCCACAAAATGTTTTGCAGGTGGGGTACCTTCGCAACCTTACATGGACCCTGTCAAACCTTTGTAGGAACAAGAATCCCTTCCCTCGTTTCAGTGCAGTCCAACAAATGCTCCCCTCCATAATCCAACTGCTCCACCATAGTGACAAATCCATCCTGTCTGATGCATGCTGGGCCGTTTCGTACCTCACTGATGGACCCAATGAGAGGATTGATGTGGTCATCAAGACTGGAATCCTTCCACGGTTGGTTGAGCTCTTGGGATTTGAGGAACTCACTGTGGTGGTAAGTACCCTAGTGTTTTTAACTTTCTGGTGTTGAATTGCGTAAAAGGAGTTTCTCATATATGATCTAGACACCAGCACTACGTTCGATTGGGAATATCGTGAGTGGTTCAGACCTGCAGACACAAGCAGCCATCGACGCAGGCGTGTTGAGTGCTTTGCCCCAGCTGATGCGACACCCTAAGTCCAGTGTTCAGAAGGAGGCAGCTTGGGCAGTGTCCAACATTGCAGCTGGACCCTGCCAACAGATCCAACAGCTCATCACGTGTGGATTGTTGGCTCCTCTAGTGGATCTCCTAAGGAATGTATGTCATAACTGATGTTTTGCTGGCATGCTGAATGTCTTTTTGCCCACGCAGAGCTGCCTATAAAAAGTTCTGGCTTGAATTTGATTGCTTGCTTCTCTTAAAGCTGGGCATAAAATGAGGCCAATTATACAAACAGCCCCTCTTGGGGCTTCTTGAAATGTTGCATTTCCAGTTGGCAAAAGTATACTTTAACATGCTTCGTCAAATCTGAGGTAATTATATGGAAAACGTTACGCAAATGGCTATACTGAATTTGGTCTTGTGCAAGAATTTGACCGTTTCTAATGTTTGCAGTTATATCATAATTTGACTGATAATTGCTGCTATGGTTGTCTTTGATTTTTTTTTTGCATCCGTTTACTAATGTTTGTAAATGCTGCTAATTGGGATTCATAAATGGATTTCTACTTGTTAAACATAATGGGGAATGCCTCTTCATAGTCTACCCACTTTTCAGTGTTTGTTTGACCAGGATCTGCTACGCATTGGGACACTTATTGTACGTCTTCAAATTATGCAGGGCGACTTCAAAACACAGCGGGAGGCAGTATGGGCAGTGACCAACTACACAAGTGGTGGGACTGTGGACCAAGTTGTTCATCTGGTCAAGTGTGGCGCTTTAGAGGCAATCTTGAACTTGCTTCAAGCTAAAGACACCAAGACTGTCCTGGTCATCCTAGATGCCATAAATAACATTTTCTTGGTGAGTCTAATATGTGATATTCAAAGAATATGTAAAAAATCTATTGCAACTCCCAGTGCTTGGCGTTGTGAGGGATATGCTAAAATATTAACTGTGCCTTCTGCAGGCTGCTGAGAAACTTGGGGAGGTGGATAAGCTTTGTTTGTTGGTGGAGGAAGTGGGAGGGCTGGATCGAATTGAGTTCCTTCAAAACCATGAGAACAATGCCGTTTATCGGGCAGCTCAAGCTCTTATTGAGAAGTATTTCAGTGAGGTGGGTATCAAGAGATTTTGTTAGGATGGCTAGTTTTGTAATATTTTTTTTT